GACCTCCAACATCGAGCAGCTCCGACACGTCGCCACGGTCTAGGACATCATCTTCACCGCAGTCGCCAAGGCGCGGGTTGATGGTATGGACCGGACGTACCTGGAATGGAAAGACCAATATTTTCTTCGTGGACCCCGGACTGAAGGTGAGCGCTGGCGGTTACATTTGAGCAACTCGTGAAGAATATCCTCCTCACATGTGGTCGCCCGTACCTTCTTGGAAACTTTGTACTGCTACAGCATTGAGTGCCACCACATGAAATCGAAGGGCGTTGGAGAAACACTCGCCTACTTGGAATGGAAGGGGGCTGAGTACCTAAAGAAGATGGAATATCCAAGTAGGTCACCTGACCTGAATCCCTCAGTTATCCGCTTTAGGCGGAGTTCAATAGGGTGGTCTACGGTGGCGGAGAAATCGACTATCTCGCTGATCTCAGGCACCACATCGCGGTCGCGTGCCAGAATCTCTCGATGGCGCTCGTCCAGAAGGCTGTGGCGGAGTGTCATGATAGTATTTAATATGCTCTTTAATATGGTGGTAAAAATGTCCGATCAGAATCATAGCGCCTCGAAAGTCAATGAAGAAAAGTGACTTTTTTTGCCCCCCCCTGTAGGTCCGCACTCCCAAGAATGTGCCACTTTCTCCATTCAAATTGCACGGGAACGGGGCTTGAAGGTAGCGATACCCGGGTGATATTTCCATACTTCGTACTTACTCAAGGTGCAGCGCTTGCGTCGATGCAAAGGTCCTGCAGTGAGACACGCACTCAGCGATGAGAACGGCAAGAAACGAGAGGGTGCAGACAAGTATCGCGATAGGCTTTGGTCAGGCGTGTAGCTGGTCGTGCGGCAGCGAGGGCGGAGTACGGACACAGCACTCGGGTACTTCGTGCACTTCCGCTTCTGCGGCTGCGGACCCACTCATCTCACACATGGCAAGGACCAGGACCCACGGAATCGAGTGAACAGTTTGGCTTCAAACCAGTTTGGCAAAACTAGAATTGCCGTTATGGTGATGAGGGGTTTGCCCAGTTCAAAAGGATAAAGATTTCGTTGAAGGGTCTTCAGTTAAGGCATTCCGTCTTTCACAAGATATTCTCTAAAACCTCCAGCACGCGCCCTCCCCCTCCCAGCTCGCATGTTCTAGGATTAATGAGCTTTTTTTATCCACTCGTAAGTAGTACATGAAGGATGCGAGAATTATATAAAAAAATAAAACAAATAATCAAATAAGAGTAGAATGAATGACTTACTTAGTAGCGAAACGAATCCAGAAATTGTTGTATACAAAGGCACGTAAGGGTCGCACTTGATTGACAAATACGATGTAACGAAGGTCGAATTTAACCATATAATTATTGTCAGCTCTGGGGAATAGAACTGGATGCTCAATGTACTTACAAGCAATCTGTAATGAAAGACCAGTGTGAAAAATGATTAAATAAAAAACCAATAGTGACGAAGACCTAAAAAAGTAGCTACTCAAGGATTTGGTAGTCCAGTCGCCAAGGGCACATTCCGCGATAACCAAGGGGCGGAGACAAGAATCATCGCACCTTCTTTACTTTTCGGGGTCTCCCCATTCGAACAAGTAAAGATCAGCGGTGCACCTTTGAGGTGGTTTCCTGTCTCCGCTTACACGATAAAAGCGGAATGTGTCTTCGAAAATGTTTATTCAATTTGAACCAACCTTCGGGCCAGTTTCAGTTAATCGAATGATTTGTCGAAGATCATTCGAAACAAACATGTCCATACCACGGGCCAAATTCCATGGCTTTGATAATCCAAACATTTTCAAGACCACTGAATAAC